ACTGTAATAAAACCCACAAGAAAAAAAAAATCCAAAAATACATTCTTAAAGCACCACCTTTCTTCACTGTTCAGCTACCATGCACTCTAGCTATGAAGAGTCACAAAACCATGCAGATGAGAGACTGCATGGCCCTGTCTTCAGAGCTAAACTAGGTCTCTGCCATTGTGACTGCTGTGGAGAAGGCAGAGGAGTGCATTGACTGAAGAAGGACTTCAGGACATGGTTGAAGTATGTGAATTCTTTCCAAAATGCAGATTAAGCATATTTTGGACTCTTCAGTCTCAGAGATTAGTATAGTTACCTATTATCAAGGACTACTGAAGTGAAATAAGCTATTTGTATTTTGGCCAGAGTCCTCCAAGTGACCAAGCATAGACTCTTGGGTGGTTTTAGGGAGCCGGGTAAGTGCAGGTATTTAAGCTGCTGTGACTCAAAGATGGAAAGGGAGCATTTGAAATATGTCCAAATCCATAAGGGATGTATGTGTGTTTCCCACTGATACGCACTTCAGTAGCATTGGCCACTATGTTTAACAGTTATTGTGGAGGAGGTAAGAGCTGCCTGATATTGTGTTTTTGCTAAGAATTCAGGAAATTGATTGCTACAAAAGCTGCTCACCTTCTGTGGTAGCCTCTATCCAGGTATTAGTCAGAGAGAATCTGACCCTGAACTCCTGATGTCCCCAAGAGCACCACAATCACTGCACAAATGGATGGTGGATACAAGGGACGAGCAAGGAGAAAAAGTGAGGAATGTATAGAGATGCAGAAGAAGGAAAAAAAAGCAAGAGATGAACCTAACTTTAAAACCTTCTGAAAAGAGATTTCCCTTGGAAGAAACAACTTCAGTCCTGGTCCTTGCTCCAGGTGTTGCTTGTAGATATGGCATTAGTTATTGATGAGACGAACGGGATTTGGATCACGTTCAACTGCAGCAGGAAGGATGGAAAGAGACGCCATTCTGCAGCTTGCTGATAAGAACACCATAGAGGAGATGTAGGTTTGAACCCTTTCAGGTTGAGGAGGAACCCCAGTGTTTCCACCTCAGGCAATGCAGAGCTGATGAAGAAGAAGCAGCTTCCTCCTCCACTTCAGAAGAGATCTGTTATAAGTCCATGGAGTGTGGTGTGTCTGGAGAAGGTTATCAGCACAAAGGGGCAGCTTTTTGCTCCGTGTCTAGGAACTCGCTGAGCTGTCTATAGTGGGCACCGGTATTCCTGTACAGTGTCGGGGTGCAGAGTGCAGCTTTCCACACTTCTAGGACCTTGATCACTTGAGTTGCAGAGTTCAGCTGACTGAGTCCATGGTCAGCTCTGTCACTTCTAAGAGCTGTTGTGAAAGCTGGCGGCAAGGGCCTACCCTTCCTTCCTCTTGGACTTGCTGCATGATCACTGGACTGAGTCTGGCTGTGATTGTTGTCTCTAGAACCAATTCTGATCTGGTCTTGCCATCACTCTTGGCTCCCATCTCACCTTCCCTTGGCCAGGGTGCTGGTCAGAAAGGCATTGGAGGGAGGTCAGGCCCTCACTTCCATGGTCTGAGTTTTTTGAGAACTTCAGAAGGGCCAGCTGTCTTGATTTCTTACAGAACCTGCCTTTCTGACCTTGGCACCTGGAAGGACTAAAAACTTTCATGTTTAAGTATTGCAAATCACAACCCTTAAAATAAGTGCTTTGAAACTGGCCCTCTGTCTTCTGAAAAACTTGTGCATTGCAACATTGAGTATTGTGGTCCCTAACATTGGGGTACTTTGAGACACAAAATAGCACTTACAGGCCCAGAGTGCAGCTATGACAGAAAGTAAAATAATAAAATGGGGGTTTTCCTAAGTAACAGGAGAAGCTTCAGGTGAAAACGTTGGTATCAGCTGCTTTTCAGTTTTCAGTGGCTTCGAATTGCCTTACGCAGTGAAGAGGTAGTGTGGGTGCAGACTTCAGGAGCCGTGATTTCTTTAGACAGAAAGGTATTTAGGAAGTAAGAGCTAGGGTCCTTAGCCTCAGCCAGCCCTAGCACTTGGAAATACATTGGTATGAATAAGGTCATTCAGGTAACTGTTCCGTTGGCTTAATGCATTCATGTTGCTGACAGTGTTTGAAACCCAGATGAAATTCCAAATGAGATGCAGAAAATTGAATCAGCAATGAACCACACTGCAGACTCTTGCTTTTCCACTTATTAAATTAATTTAACAACCTGAAACAAGACAGAGAGCATGGCAAGCATAGTAAAAATAGGTATAAATATAATATGGGCCATTTAAAAGTTCATGCTTTTTATCATTTGGCTGTATAATGACAGCAGAAAATAACTTGCATTTCAAGGTGTGTCTGCATATATATCTAAGCAGAACAGTTATTTTCTTTTTGGTAGCTGAGCTAGAATGTTCAGTAATAGCATGGATAAAAGGTAATAATTTATGTCTATACCTTCAGGTACCTTCTGGCATAATGCCTTCAGGCAATACTAAATGTGATTAGATTAGATTAGATTAATTAACATTAGATATGGTTTATTTAATTGCAACGACAAGATTTCACCAGAGTTTGCAAGTATTTTCATGTTGGCCATAGGAACCTCTTGAATTTATTTTTTCAGGAGCCTTCATGTGTTCAGAATTTACAAGCAAAATAGTAGAAGTGGGAGCTGTCAGATAAAGCTGGTAACACACAGATTCAAGAGAAACAACAGCTTGTGTAACAGGCCGTGGACTGTTGAAAAATCCTTGCTGTTGGATGTTGTAGATGCGAAAAATTTAATCTCAATGGGAGAAGTACAGGGAAAAAAATGGGGTTTATTAACTAAAAAAACACATCAGACTTAGAAGATTTTTGGATCTTATGGCTACTGTTAGAGACAGGATACTGGTGAAGAGACAACCACGGTCTCAACAGCCATTTTCATGTGTTTCTAAAGGTTTTCACAGAAAATGTACGTATACAAAAAAAAGTTTTCAATTAGTCTTTAGCCAGCCAAGGAAAAAAAGCAGTGCTACAAAATTCATCCGAGCAATCCTAGTAACTGAAAGGGTCAAAGGTAGTATAATAGCTCTTGGTAAACTAGCCTGAGGTTTTCAAGAAATATGTCAATTAAAAGTAAATGACTTTTCAAACCAGTTATTTGTCAGAAAAATAGGAAAAATCAACTAATTCCTCATTAATAATAGATTATTATCTATTGATAATAATAGAGATTGACACCTTATGTCCTCTGATATTATCTCTATATACACTGGCTCCAGTTATGCCAGTCTGTTTTTAATTTGGGAACAAGCTAGTATCCATTTTATCTTTCCTTAACTCTTTCATTTTAACTCTCTCCCTTTCTCTGTAATCAGAATTTGTACATACAGTTATGTAGGGGTGTTTACTATTCTTTTCTTTCAGTGATGTTGCCTTTTTGCCTGCTAATGCTTTTCCTCCTTTGTTTTGTACTCCAAGCCCTTGGAGGGCTTAACTACCCAGGAATGTTAAAAGTGCAGTGTCACCTTGGGCTTTCCTTCCATGCAGGGAGTAGTTGGGTGTCTCCTCCAGGGTTTGTGCCCAAAGCTGAGCATTTTTAAGTGACCTGAGAGTTGTTTTGGGCAGGGCTGAAGTGAAGTGGTAGGTAGGGCTGGTGACTGTGTGACTTCGTCAACCTGAGTCAAAACCTGTGATGGTGACAGCCAGCAGTCAGTTGTAACCAAAGTTGATTTCCTTCTACAGATAGCAAAAAGCACCATTTAATCAGTAGGTCATCACCTTCTGATGAAAAGTCTGTGATCTTACAGATATGGACTTCGTTATTACTAAGGCCTTTGTCACTTCCGGATTGAGCTGCAATGGTACAACTGATAGGGTAAAGTAGACCCACAGTAGGGTTGTGTGTTTATAAAATCTCGATTCCAGCCATGAGTTGGACACTGACACTCAGCAGTTCGTACTGGCTGCCCCTTGGCAGCTCGGGATATCAGGTATTGGTTCTGTCTTAGGAGTTTTTCTTGCTTTGGGACCCCCAGCACCCGGGGCAGTGCCATCTGGGGAGACCAAAACTCCTTCCAAATGACCTGCTCTCTCCAGAGAGGGCCCAGAGGTGCTAGCTAGAGGAGAGGCTGCATCAGGAGAGACCTGTAGCTGCCGCAGTGCTTCAGTTACAGGAGCCACGGAGGTCAGATGAGTGCTGTGAGCTGCTGCCTTGGTTGGGGTCCCTTTGCACATCCATCCCATGGTGAAGACGTGCCCAGGCTGGCCTGGCTCTTGCCAGTGAAAAGGTGAAGAGTTGATGCACTTCCCTGCTGTGGCAGTTCAGATCTGTTCAACCACTTGTTTGGAGCAGCATTGATAGATAGTGAAGAGCCTGCTTTTTGTGGGGTGTGTGTCCTTCAGCTTTGAAATTTCCTTTAGTTCCTTCTGAGCATACCATCAAACCCTTCTGGGGAGGACCTGGAAAGTTGGGCTTTAACAAGATTTTGGGGAATGGTCCAGGGAAGCGGAGTAGTGGCTCTTTTACAGACATTTAGTAACAGCACAGCACTCTTCCAGATCTAGAGAGATTCCTGTAGGTTTCACATATGCATTTAAATAATATAAGTATTAAGTTTTCAGAAAAGTTGTTGGTATGTAAGAAGAGATGCCTATTAGTTCACATAATGCTTTCATCTTGTCACTGAGCCCTTCACTAGTAGTCAACAACAAATTGCTACAGCTTAGGATAGACATATAAAATAGTGGTGTCTTAACTCCTAAAGGAAGAAAACAGGAGAAAAATAAAACTATTACCTGGGCAAATAAGATACAAGTTTTAAACTCCAGTATTATTTTTGTATTATATTTTTAGTTGATGGCAGGCATGCCTTGGATGTTTTTCTATATTGTTTAAATCATGTACATAACCTAGAGTTAATGCAGTCTTTCTCTGATAATCAACTCTCCATTCCAGAGTTAATGAGTAGGATGTTTTCTCCCTCTGAACAGCAGGATATGTGTGCTTGCTCTACTAGCATGTTCTTTTTCCTTCCTTCAGTCCCACTCTTGCCATGGCCCACAGGAATCTGACTGGGAGCTGTAATGTTAACTGTGGATGTAAGATTCATGAGTACGAGCCTGTCTGTGGATCAGATGGAATAACATATTTTAATCCTTGCCTAGCTGGCTGCATCAATGGTGGAAACCATAGCACAGGGGTAAGTGCTTCACCCACCCACCCACCTACACATAGCCCCTCGGGACTGATGCAGATCCAAGACTGCTCTGTTTCTAGCGCGAGCATCCCCCTTCTTATGGTCTGGAGAAGTTGCTCTGCTGCTGACTCATGCATGAGTCTTCCCATGTTTTGAAAGGCTGGTGTTGCACAGTTCCACTCCCCTTCCTTTCAGTTATGTACAAATTTGAGGCACAAGCTCACTTGTACCAAGCAAATCCTCCAACCGATTGAGTGCGAAGTGCCACAGCATGGGGAGGGCTGGTGTTTCCAGTAGACTCTGAAGACCCTGATGGTAGTGGCCTGCCTGTCTGCTGCTCCTGCAGGGCTCAGAGAGGGGACCTTGAGTCAGTGTCATCTAATTCAGCTTTCTGCTAACATAGGCAGCCATGTCATATTGTCTTTCCACAAGCTCATCAATGTTACTCTTAAGAGCAGTGTTACTCTTTTTTTTTTTTAATTTCCTCTCGGAATGGAAGGAAGACCTTAACTCTTCAGGTAGTTGGAAGTATTTTAAACTCCTGTTTAAATTTAGCTATGGCCTGTTTAAAGCCATTGGTGTTTATATCAGCCTCATCGTTTTGCATAAGTAGCTGTTGGACCTGCACCAGTGTATTGATAGGTCTTTTCTTTGTGTGGCTAGATAAAGTCTGCCTGTTTATTCTGCTCTTGTAAAATAGTTTGGCCATTCTCATAGCCCTTCTGTAAACCTGTTCCAGGCTAAATGAAGTGATTGTCATTGAACTCAAGTAACCAGAACTTAAGGGATGTTAATAATCCACTTTATTGGAAATACATTGCCTCTTGGAATGTTTTCTGCCTTGAAAATACAAGACTGTTGCAACCCAGTCTTCCAGTTATGCTGGACTGGGGAAGGGTATCCTGCTGGCAAAATTACAGTATGGAAATTTGGCAGTTTCCAGGACTAGCCTGAAGAAAACAGCTGAAAAGTAGAATATGACCTAAATACCAACAAAGCATCATGGTTGTGCTTGTTTCGTACAAAAAACAAACTCTCAGATTCTTCTGTTATAGAACTGTCTTTTAAAAAAAGAGTAATTAAGAAAGACAGGAAGCAATGTAAACATTGATTTTCTCAGGACATGATTGTGCTTTCCAGAAATCTTATTCATAATGTATCAGTCTCCTGATTTGCAGTCCTGAGCCAGCCTGTGAAGCAGGACGATGTTAGGTCCAGCACTGCGCTTTCTCAGGTTGACTGGATAATGGTCTGAAAATGCAGGTTCGTATGTAGATGCCACTGAGAACAGATTAGTTTCCTTTATAGTTTTTGTTTTGGGAGTATGTTGCTGTTTTTTAGTAGAGAATTGCTTTGGCTCAATTGGAAAAGCCTGTGATGTAAGCCTGTAGTTAACTTTCAGTGTCTGTATAAATCTTATTTGTGCTTTGCCGGATTGAGACATAGGTTTGATCTTTGCTCCACTTCACCTGTTGTCAAACTGGCACAATTAATTCGTTTAGTAGGGAGGTACTTTGGAATTATGTGTTCTTCACTACAGATTTGAAACATACTATTTCCTCTTATGATTTACGAAAAGGTCCTTCATGGCCTGAAGTTTTAACTCGGTAGCTAATGGTGAATAGAATAGGACTGACATTGGTAAGAAAATGCATTTCTTCATTAAATAATACTTTATGTAGGATGCTTTCAAAAACAACAAATGTGAACATGTGCCACTGTATAACACAAAATGTTCCTAACCTATGACATTTCGATTTAAGTTTATAACGTATAGTGTTTTCAAAATTAACCACTTAAAAGTTGGAAGTAGGAGAAAAGAATGCCAGTGTGCAGTTCATACCTGTTTCATCTATATCTATTCTTATACTCTAGCATTTCTGTTGTGTCATGTCTGTCTCATTTAGTACACAGACTTGGTTTCTCTGGTGATGAACCAAGATTGTGTAGTAAAGAAGATTATTTTCCATAGGATGCCTACTTGGCATTTGCATTTGGAAGCAGTAAGGAGATAAGGTGAGGGACTGTAGGAAGAAAGCAGATACTCATGTGATATTAGAGTGGAGTGCTGCTTTGAGAAACTGGATTCTGTCATTGCCTCCATTCCTAAGCAATGCTGGGCAAGTCACTTAAAACTTCTCCCAGTTAGTCATTAATCTCGTATCACTGGATTCTGTCATTGCCTCCATTCCTAAGCGATGCTGGGCAAGTCACTTAAAACTTCTCCCCGTTAGTCATTAATCTCGTATTCTTCATATTCTGGATGATGGACATGAGCATTAACCAGAAGTGCTGTTTGTAGAAGCGCTGATTGCCTGAATCTGTATCTGAAGGCAAGAAAAGTTATGTTTTGTATATATAAAGTGGTATATAATGGAAAATGTTCTGAAAAAAAGGACCCTAATTGTCTCAAATTAGCCACCCACATTCGTGAAACTTTTGATCTGTTTCAGTTACTTAGCTACAAAATAGAGCTAACAACATCAGTGCCTCATCTCATAATTGTTTTGAAGATAAATTACTCCTTTTTGAACGAGTTAAGTTATATGAGTGTGATAGAAAAATCCATATGAAATATGAGTCATTCTGTATTTGTAGTGGTATATGTTTAGTGTGAGGAAAAAAATACCTGGAGCCACATTTTGAAAATGGGAGATAAAATACTGGATAAATTGATTTATTATCAAGATGGTCAGCTAAATCCCATGGGAAAAAAATGTGAGGCTACGTCATAACATGAACACATACAAAAGTATACATTAAAGTTGACAAGGAGCTATAATTTGGGTATTTCCTGATGTCCAAGTGCTTAAATTTGCAACCTTAGGATGGTCTTGTAGCTTCTGTGCATGTGTGGTCCTAGGTTTTATGAATGCAAACACTGAAACTAAAAGCTCCTTCCTGTAACAAATATCACATGGGTCCTGACCTGTTTCTTCTCTAGCGCCGGAGTATTCTGAGCTGCTGCACACCCCTTTGCCATTACATTAGTTGAAAACAGTAGTAGAATAAATGTGGCAGGAGGCTGTTTCTGATCTAGCTCTCCCTCACCTTGCTCAAATCATGGTCCCCCTTGCCTATGAAATGCCACTTCTTTATTCAGTCTCTTTATCCTAATTTCAGCCTCTTTGTTCATTCAGGAATCCCTTGTGTCCTCCAGTCTCACTGTTTAAGTCTCTGCTTTCCCCTTATTCTGTGGTTTTGCTCCTTTCCACATCCCATCTACATCCAGCTGGAACGTCCTGGGCTCCAAGCGAGAAGTGCAGCTTGTTGCTCTTTAATCGAATCTGGGTAGACTTCCATTGGGATGGCAGAAGACAGCTCCTGAATATGAAAGTCAACAGCCTGCCAAATTCCAGAATATGGCATTATCAGTGCTGCTTAAAGAGTATTTCCTCACAGTTTTTGTAGTACAATAGAAACAATTCTTTTCTCTAGCCTCCCTATCAGAAGTTATTGAATTGTTTTGGCAGAATTTTCCAAAAACATTCCAGAGTTTTTTTTAAACTCAGCCTAAACAAAGCAATGGAAAGGCAATCTCATCGTGGAGAGTCCTGGCCAGCTTTAAAAAATACTTGGAGTGATAAACTCGCTTGTACTTGGGATAATGATGCTAGAGGCAGAAGATTCCGGATTTGGAAGTACCATGGGACTGTAGTACCATGCCTCTGTGCAACGTCTTCCTCGCACGAATATTTCACGTGGAAATGTTCTTTTTCACTCTTCCCAGGTAAGAAATTACACAGAATGTGCCTGTGTCCAGAGTCGCCAGGTGATCACTCCGCCGACGGTGGGCCAGCGCAGTCAGCTCCGGCTGGTTATCGTCAAAACCTACCTGAATGAGAATGGCTACGCTGTTTCTGGGAAGTGCGATCGAACCTGCAACACGCTTATCCCGTTCCTGATATTCCTCTTCATCGTTACCCTTATAACAGCGTGTGCCCAACCATCAGCGATCATAGTGACACTCAGGTGAGAACTTAGGTTTTTTAAGTATTTTTGCTGTGCCTGCTATTAAGCCAAACATTAAGCTTATGCATCCTTAAAAAGTGAATAGAATAGGGCTGGCATGAATTGGGTGAAACTTGCTTGTGTTTAGAATATGTAACACGATAATGCACTTTAGGAAACATGAAGTGCCTGGTGATTTCCAGGTGATACAAGGGGAGAACAAGTAAAAGGATCGTGTAAGAAAATGATTACTCCTGAAGAAATTTTCAACCTTCTGAAAGCAATGGTTTGGATTTTCAAATGCAAATAAAAAAATTAATATTTGACTAATTCCTAGTTCAAAAAAGAGAGGACATTTTAAAACGATCCTTATGTCTTTCTTAAAATTGTTCATTCCTGCCACATGCCCATTTTTGAATTGTCCCTTTTTTACTTCACAAGAATTTTGAACTTTTAAGCACTGTACTGTAGTTGTGTTGTCACCGTGGTCATTTAGGGGTAGAGAACAACACAGTCTTTGTAGGTTTAGGGAAAGGTAGTGTCATTTATTTGTCCATTCAAAAATAAAGTGTTCAGGTTTTTGGATTGGCTTTTCCCATCTCTGCCATCTGGTCTGACAAGCATTATCACTCCCTACAACGTCTTTGTCCATTTAAAATACAACCTTTGTTAGTGAACTTCAGTCTGATTTTTAAAGAAAAGTGAGCTGAGAAAAGAGAATATGGTCTACTGCTAAAATAAATTTGTATTTTTATAATACATGTTGCTGTTTTTAAAAGAGGAGGAGGAAGAATTAGAGGAAAATGAGGTAACTCCACTATTTACCAGGATTTACAAAGCACACCCATAGGTATCGCTTGTGGCCCAAGTTCGTTCCCCGATTTCTCAGTTTCTGAGTGTTTGGCTTCAAAACCTTGATTTTACAGCTGTACTCCTTTGGCTGCAGTATTTTTTGTGTGTTTTTATCTTATATTTCAGTGTCATTAAAAGCTGCCTATCTTAATTTCAGACCTCTAGGTTAAGATTTAAAAATATTTTTTAAATCAGAAGAAAATTTGTGATTTACTAAAATTGTAGTTACATTGTGGAATATCATTATTTTGTGTTTAGTCTTCTGAAAGCCTGTCATTTTTCCTTTGAAACTAATGGGGAAAATCTTGTATTATTTGTGTTGAAAAGGAACAGTGTTTAAAAGGACTGTTTGGATGTTTCTACTGACATTTTTCCTAAAGTAACTCCAAAGTGCATATGCTACAGAGAGATCTGTTAAATTCAAAAGAATTTCAGCAACTTAGTTCTCCATTAATTCTAATTTGTCTTAAAAAGATTGAGAAAATAAAGCAAGAGATTGTATGAAATAATAGGAAACTATCATGAGAAGCCATGAACACTTTGGGTGGATTCTCTAATTTCCTTAATGGGTTTGGATCAAATTCTTCAGGCTCAACATAGGTGAAGAAAGATTCAAAGATAGGACTGAGATTTTGATTAAACAGGGACAGGAGGGACTAGCTATATTTTTTCCTAACAATAAGAGTTAACAATATTAGAAGCTAAATGGAAGAAATTTAGATGAAGATTATTATAGTTCAGAAAAAATAGCCAGAAGGTAAAGCCAGAACATACCGCAATGATTATCAATTATGACTGTTTCTTGAAAGGAGTTTTCTTCTCACCTGCTAGGTCTGTGGAAGATGGAGAACGACCCTTTGCGCTAGGAATGCAGTTTGTTTTATTGCGAACTCTTGGTAAGTCTTACAGTTATTCAGCATTCCCATAAACCACCGTGTTTCCAAAAGGCTTGCCATGTTCAGTTTAAATGTACCATAAAACCAGTAAAATTCCATAAATCTGCCACTAATTGCCTGACTAATTGTATTAGGAACCTAAAATTAATAGCTTCTAAAAACATTGTAACTGAGCATGTATTTAATTGGGTTTTTTTGTTACTGACTTTCTAGAACAACTTCTTTGTCCCAGAAAGAGATATTTTTAGTTTTTTAAATATTCTATTTAAAAATTAATACAGTTACTAAAGGTTGTTTTATAAGGATTTTTTCTTTTTTAGAAGCAGATATTTTTGTTGCTTTCAGCAATAAAAATAACACTTTGCTTTTTTTAAAATAAGAAGCAATTGTAATTTAATGTCTAATTTCAAATGTTTCAAAGCAAAAGAGGTGCATGTTAAGTCTTTATTCCACAAAATAGTTTCTTTCAAGCTCTTGACCTTCTAAAATCCTGCCTATAAAGAGCACTCCAGGTATGCAGCTACTATGAAACATGTGAATAGAGCAAGCAAGGACTGTTCTGAGTGAGAACAAGAGGAGAAGCCCCTACAGCTGCATCTGGTCAGTGAGGAAGTTTTCTTTGACAAAGGAAGTTTCTGACGTCCTAAAGGTGTCATATTTCCAGGGAAAGAAGGAGCCTTCAGTGGGCTGGCTGCATTTGTAGCAGCCTTAGAAGTTAAAGTCTGTTTCTGAGGAAGATGTCTTCAAAATAAAATTTAAAATGTTATTTGTCTCATCACTTCTATCCATCTTTAGTAACAGAAACATTTTGGGGTCCTTGGTGCTTTTTCTCTCTTTCCCAGCTCATGGGAAACGGATATTCAGCAAGTAGGGCTCGGGAGAAAATGTCATATTTTGTTCCTCTCTCATATTTTATTTCCTGAGAGCAACATTGAATTTTCTCTTGGGGGACATGTGACTCAAGAAGAGCTGTCTGAGGATGGCAGATTGAAGCAAGACCTGTTGTAAGGCGTTGCTGCATTGTCTTCTTTGCTTGAATTCTTTCCCATTTGTGGCATGTTACATGTGTGGGATAAGTAGTGTTGGTGGGAAGGTAGGCTGACCAGTTTCCCATTATTTTGCATTACGTGTGAGAACAGCGGTGTGGAAATCTCAAAACTTGTCAACCTCTACCTGTTTGTCTAAGGCATATAGTCTCTTTGAAGTTTTCCACTATATACTAACAAATACCATTTCTCTTGCTATTTTTATTTCAGCTTACATTCCCACTCCAATTTACTTTGGGGCTGTTATTGACACCACGTGCATGCTTTGGCAACAGGATTGTGGCGTACAAGGATCTTGTTGGGAATACGACGTCACCTCATTTCGTTTTGTCTACTTTGGGTTGGCAGCTGCTCTCAAGTTTGTGGGATTCTTTTTTATTTTCCTGGCCTGGTATTCCATTAAGTGTAAAGAAGAGCAACTGCAGAGACAGAGATGGAGGGCTTCGCCGGTGAACACTGTGAGTGAGATGGTTGGCCAAGCTGGACCCCAACAAAACTATGTACGGACTAGATCCTGCCCTACCTTCAGTTCCCGAGGAGACATCAGTGTGGCACAAGGAATGAACTGTGTAGCACAGGCATACCCCAGCCCTTTTTTAGAAGCAATAAATTCCTCAAATGAAAATGCATTGGAAGAAGTCACTGCTGAGATATAGACCCGTGGCTTGGTAATGTAAGATTTAGTTTTGTTGGTTGACTTAATTACGGCGCCTTGTAAAACACCTGTGCCTTCTATTTTTAATCTAAATGTAACATGTGATAAAACCAACAAAGCTTAATGCAAACAACCATAGTATGTTTCTGAGGGCTGGATACCTCAAACCAACCCAAGTTCTCATTTCTCCCCTCCCAACAATGGAGTTTTACAAATTGTGTTTGTAATTATTTCAGATGTGTCCATTAAATGTCCATGCTCTGCTCTAATATCAGTGTAAGGGTGAGGTATTATGAACAGTAGAAGTCAGTGGAAGAGTGACAGAACCTCATATCGTTGATGTCTAGACATCACAAAGATGCTTAAATGTGTTGTCAGCTTCACATCCACAAATGGTATTTTTAAGAGATGAGTAATTACTGTGAGTTCTGCTACAAAGCACAACTGAACTTATTTAAACTATGCAACTTATTTGGATAATTGTATGTGCAGCAAATTACGTTTGAAGTTTGCTTTTAAAGACATTACTGCAACTGAATTTGAAAGGGGCTATTTTCAGACATAAGCATTAAATTAAAAAAGGACATAAGTTAAAGTACTGTTAATAACATGTTAAGCCATACAAAAGTTATGCATCAGGTAACGTTTGCAAATGTGGAGTCGTAATATCTTTATCCTGTCAAAATGTGCATTAATTTTCATTTGATGGGATGTAGTAATTCTTCACAAAAGTACACAGGCAAGGAAAGTACAATGCTTGGAGTAAAAAACCTCAGTATTAATTTGTAATAACATTGAGATGTAGGAATCAAACACACATACCAGAGCAGGTATGTGCACATTTCTGTAACGATGCAGGCAGTTAGTAGGATGGCTGTTACTAGCACCAGATCCATATTTCTCCTGAAGAAGAAAATAGCCAGTTATAGCTTGATAGGAAGAGCTTGGCTGTCCTTCAGAAACACATGCCAGTCTAGTTCAGCTTTGGTGAAAAAATCTTGAGGGAGAGCTGATGGCCCCGTTTCGTGTCTGAGTGGCCACCTGGGACCCGGTGGACACCTCACAGCCAGCGACGGCACAGTGCTTGGGCTGGCACCGCTCACTGCCTGCTGCAGGAGTGAGCAGAGAGACCCTTCAAGTGCGCGGCACGCAGCCTGCCTGCCGCAGTGCCCGGCACGAGGCTTTCCCCGTCACTCCTGGCACCACCGGGGTCCTGTGCTCCCTGCCACCGAGGACAGCTGGGGAGGGGGTGCCAGCTCAGACCCTGGGTCCCTCTCCTTTCTGCCCCACTTCTGCCTCTCCCGTTGCCTGGTGGTGGGCAGGCTGGTGGGACAGGTCTGGAGGTCCTAGTTGTGTGGTTTGTCCCACATGTGGCCACCTTTCTTTTTCTCAGCCTCATTGAAAGCTTCTGTGAAGGCAAAGGGTGAGTTGTTTCTCCTTTGCCCTTCCAGGGAATTGCTAAGAATAGAAATTATCTGCAACCGTAGAGCCACAGGTTATGATGTGGTCTTTGCTTATTCCAAATTACCGTAGTTCGTTTTCTCCCCAGGACATGCTAAGACTTTGTAATCAAATGTACTTGGCATTTCATTTCTTGCTCTGGAGGCTTGGTAGTGCCGTGCTTATGATGTACTAATGATGTCTCAAAGGGCAGAGAATGATTTCAGGTGGACACTAGGAAGTCAAAGCTGTATTTTGCCCTGCAGGGGAAGTCTTAGAAGTTTAGGAAGTTAAAAGCATTCTTTTAAGAGGACTCAGTGATAGTCAGGTTTGGATTTTGCCATGTGGACAACTTGCATGAAAATAAATAGGAAAGAGCAAAACTTCTACATATTTCTGAACAGAGTTCAGAAGAGTCCTGGTCTAGTTTTTAATTTATAATATGTAAGTTGATCAAACATTATATGGAACCAAGTCTTTGGAATTAAAGAAATTAAACTAAGTCCTTGAAATTAAAAAAGGCATCCATTGAGTTGTCCTGGGAAGAGTAGATTTCCCTCTCCTCCTTTGATGGCTGCCTTCCTTCATCCCTGGCTCTCCTTGACCCGCCAGTGGGACTACTCAAGGGGCTGGTTCCCCTGCTTGAAATGGTGGCTGCTTATTTCAGAATGTCTCAGTCCACACTGGAACAGGTTGCCTAGAGAGGTGGTAGATGCCCCATCCCTGGAAACATTCAAGGTCAGGTTGGACTGGGCTCTGAGTAACTTGATCAAGTTGAAGATGTTCCTGCTCACTGCAGGGGAGTTGCACTAGATGACCTTAAAAGGTCCCTTCCAACCCAAGGATTCTATGATTCTATGATTCTGTGATTTATGAAGTTTGTAATGACACCTGCTCTCTCTGACTGCAAATTCTGATGCTTCTACCCCAAACTACAATGTAGAGAAATATTGTTTTCATCACCTCCTACTATTCTGTACATATTAATAGCTTTTTGGGGTCAAGCCTGAGAATTTTTTTTCTCTTGTGCAGCCACCAGGCACAATACATTCTCTGTCAGCATGCAGCACCTGAGATGCTAGCTTCTACACTCCTCATCCTGAGGAATAAATTTTCTTGGCTCAAAAGTATCAGGTATATTTTTTTACTATAGGAGGTCAGAATAGATGATAAAAATGTCTCCTTTTGCTCCAATCTCAAATTCTTCTTGCACCAGGGATTTTGTGCTTCGGCAAAAATTGATGCAAAGTAGTAAGACAAAGTAATCGCAGCCCATCACCCATCATTTTAATCACTCACCCATTTTAATCAGCATGGGATGAGGTGAAGAGTGACAATCTTTTCAAATACCTCAGAAACGGGGCATTTAGGGAATTGTAAAAGGCTGGAGATGAATCATCTATGCTGATCTACTGTGCCTCGTGCACTTCTGTTACATGCGAATAACGAGGGAGAGCAGATTAGGCTTGTAGGATTGTCTGACGCTGATGGCAGAGAATGAGAGTGAGAGAAATGACACATCTGCAACTGCTGCAGCTTCTGAGATGATTTCAAGGGAATTCAGAGCTTGTTGGAATGGAGACCACCTGTTTTTTAGGAAATCCTGACACTTTGATTTCTAAAAACATTCATTTTCTGAAATGTTTGAGAAGCTGGAATGTAGAGGGAAAGGTGTTCATTTTGGAAATACTGAAAAAGCCTTGTTTACATACTTTCAATAGCCTTTTAATTTTCCTTCCAAGATTGTATGCAAAACAGAAAGTAATTCGTTACTTTTCAAACAAATTTGTTAGTATTTTTGGATATAGATAATTCTGACAATATGAATATATTTCTACAAAATCACTTAATTAAATCAGCATCCTCTGAAAGAAAGAAAACCCAAACCTTGGCCAGTTTTTGATCGATTCCTGAAGGAGGAAGTGAGTGAGTTGTAACAATCTAAACTAAGCCAATAAAAGCATGCAGGGGAAACACATTAACTTTCTAGAGAAGCCAATTCCAACATTGTCAACATTAACTGAAATATGGACT